GTATGAAAATGAGAAGTGGAACATATGAAAATGAAATATTCTAAGAAATAAATTATTCCACAAATTAAAATTGATTTTAAGGCAGAATGCTGTGTTGAAGGAGTGTAAAGATGTCTCTATTTGCTTTCTTTTCATTCCATCAGTTACAGTGTCATTGATTAAATTAGCTACCAGTTTGTGCTTGACATTTTAGTTTTTTGAATATAAATGTTTATTGATTTTGTCTAGTCCTGTGTTAAAAGGTGCTGTGTCTCATGTTTTGGATTAAGCTTTTTTGTTTTAACAATTGAAATTTTGTTTTAACAATTGAAACAAAATATATATAGCTAGTTTGAGCCTTTTTTGTGAAATATAGTCATAAGCATTATTCAGAAGATCTTTACAGAGCCCTTAGTGCATCATAGACAGGTCATCATTGTTTACGCAAAAGGTAAACTTCAGTGGTACGAAAAAGGGGTCTGTAATTAGGGAAAGGCCTCATTGGGCTCTCTGGCTAATCCTGACCAGAAAGAGTTAAAGCGTCACTGGAGAAAAGCAGACAAGAGGGGAGGGACAGGCTGGGGACAGGCTGAGCACAGGGGAACCCAGGTAGCCGCACCTCACCTACCTCCACTAAAGTGCAAGGGAGCCAAGGGGCAGCCACTTAGGAGAGCTCTTATTTAGTATATAGAAATACATGTACCTATCCATCTGTGTACATATACAGTGTGTATATATACACATATACATATACACACATACATGTGTGTGTATTCCCACTCTAGGGCCACTATACTAGTGCACTAACTGCTTTACTTAATTGCTAACTCAGCCTACTATGTAAGGCCTCCATAAATTTTAGAGATAAGCCCTTGACAGGACAAAGAAAGGCCAAATCAGGCTCACGATTAAAGGTTTTAGGGCCTGAGATAACCAGTCAGGTTGTAACAAATTCCAGGAGGGGAGAGTCTTTTTGCCACACTAATAGAAAGGACCAGGAACAAAGGGCCTTTGGGTCCTCCCTTATTCCAGAGCCCTGTACCCTTCATCAGGGGAGCTATCTATTGCCTTTTTACCTTTTCCAATAAAGTATCCAATAAAATGTCTTCCTTTCCTTAAACTTTATATCTTTAATTTTTTAATTGATATGAAATGAATCCCAGAGTTTCCTGCCCGCAGCAGACAACAGCAGTGGGCAGCATGCTCGTCCCGGATATAATTTTTTTTTTTTATAGCTTTAATGAGATATAATTCCCATGGCATACAATTTTCCCATTCCTTGTTTTTTGTTTTTGTTTTTGTCTTTGTTTTTTCACTGTTGAGAATGGGACTCAGGGCCTTGTGCGTGCCTGGCAAATGCCCTACCACTGAGTTATACCCCTGGCCCTACTTTTGAAACCATTTCCTGAGGTGCGTCTAATGTGTTTTTCAGATATCCACTGCTTCCTTTTCCGAGCGGTGGACAGAAAAAAGTGGATTGAGGTGTACAAAAGAAAGCCATTCCAGGTGTAGAGAACAGGCAAAAGAAGGCCTTGAGGTGGAAATGAGGACTCTGGATAAAGGGGAAAAAAACAAGGTCAATGTCTTAATGATGAACTATAAAGTACATGGTAAGAATGGTAAGCTTGTGCCTTTCTCAGATCACGTTGGCAAATGAGGTCTTTTTTTGTGAAAACAGAGGGAATAAAGAATAGGGGAAACAGCACACAGCCTTGGGGAAATAAGGAAATATCTGTGGTCAGGCTACAGGGGCCCCCTGTGATTTGCTCAGCTCCACCTAAGTGCCTTGACATGGGACTCTCTTTCTCTCTGCTGCTTATTTGAACTCTGCTGCTGTCTGACAGCTCTCTATGCTGTCTTAACCCCTTCCTGGCCTCTGTGTACCCCCATGAGCAGCACTGTGAGGTTCTGTGCCTAATCTTGCTCCCAGTCCCTCCAGTGGTTTTTACCTTACAGAAAATAAAATTCAGAGGCCCATGGAGGTTTCCCAGGTCCTGCAGAACCTGGCACCTGCTCCCTATGGACTCAGTTCCCACCCCTTTCCACCTGTATTCATGGTGTCCCAGCCACACTGAGCTCCTGTTCTGTCACACCTCTGGTGTGCTCCCATTCCGGAATGTTTGGACTTGCTCTTTTTTCAACTTGGTATGTACTTTCCTAGGTCCTGTTTTGTTTCCCTTCTTCATTCAAACTCAGTCAAATATCACCTCCTCAGAGAAGCCTTCTTGACCAGCTGTTACTCTCTCTTCCCTCTCCAGTTCTGTTTTTCTCTATCAGACTTCCATGTTACAGGACATTGTAGGTTGCATTCCTTTTGCATTTGGTGTTGTGTTGCTCCCTCCCTGGAGTATAAAGTTTCTAAAGTCAGATTTAATATGTTATATGGACTGCAGTATCCTTAGTGCCTAGAATGTTGCCTTTATGTGGTGGACAGTTAATACTGTTGAATGCACTGGCTTTCCCAGAGGAGATCTCTGTTGTGTTGTCCAGTGGGGGATGCATTCATGGGTGAGACAAGTTAACTGGCCCACCACTGTCCGGACAGCTTGTTAAATCAGGGCCCTATCCTTGCTCCATCCAACCAGTAGTAACCAGAACAGTAAGATCATGTGGTCTTTTTCTCTTGATGTCCCTTTCTTTCCATTTGGTGGCTGGCCCCTCCGTAGTTTTTTAATTTTAATTCCTGGTTCATGAAAAACTTTTTTGCCAGATCCTTTGATATGGAACACTTGCTTCCCATTTTGAGTGAAGCATTTTGAGTGAGTGATAAGCAGAATTTTGGCTTTCTTAATCTTATGTCCTCTTTGTTGTGTGATTCTGACTCACTCCTCTGTGTTTTCTTTTCCTGTTTGTTCCTCTATGATTCTTGACTACTGTCTTTTCTTGTTTTCCTTTCCTGCCCTTTCTTTCTGTCTTCTGTTCTCTCTCAGCTCCATTTTGCATGAGCCTCTGTCTCATTTTAGAGTCTGCTTAGCTTGAGTTTTTCTTGCCTCTGAGAAACCCTTTTGTTCACCCACTTTGTGTAATCTTTTCTCTCCTTTATTCCTTACTGCTGGAGAACAGTACAGAAGAAAACTGCACTGGAACATTTGTTTCTTACTTTATCCTTTTGTTTAGTATCTTTTTTGACTTGTTTTGTAAAATTTAATCATTATCTGAAAACCTGTGTTGTGTAAGGCAATATGTCACTAAACCAAATTCTCAAGTTTTGACACTGTATTTGGGGAGACAAATTAATTGGGTATTCATTCAAATATTTATTGAGGTTGGGATGTACTGGTAAATTAAAACAAAAATGCTTATTTTTATGAACTTAACATTTTGATAAGAGAGATACATTATTATATAAAGTATAGATATACATTTACTATATAAATGAACATTGAGTTATAGCCATATTGAATATTTTAAAAGAGGGCTCCATTCTGTTTGAATAAATTGTAGGGCATTATAATCAGGAGAATCAGGGGCTTCTTTGAGGAAGTGAAAACTGAACTGAGATCCAAAAGGACAATAAAAAATACCTAGGTGCAGGCCCTGGAGGAGAGGGGATGGAGGTGCCAAAATCTGATGGTAAGAGAGCGCTTGGGGCATCTGAGGAAGCATAAGCATGGAGAGCAGAGTAGAGTGATGGGTAGACTACAGTCGGATTTTGCAGGGCTTTGTACGGCATACTGGTTCTTACTCTGTAAACAACAAGATAAGTTTGAAGTGCTATAAGGAGAGGGAGAAGAATAAAAAGGTATAAAAAGTATTTTTATTTTCAAACACCAGTTTGAATGCTGTGGATAATAAATGAAGTTGATGTAGATGTAAAGGCATCAGATGTAAGGCATAGAACTGGGGAATGCTAGTAGTTAAGATGGTGTGGTGGCAGTCTAAATGCAAATTGAAGTTAAAGGGCTCTACCTCACTTCCTATTAACTGCATTTTTTTTTTTTTTGTTCATTTTGTTTTTTAGGGTAGATTTGCATTAGGTAGCCCAGGCTGGCCTCAAACTCAGGGTGATCCTCCTACCTCACCCTTCCACATGCTGAGATTACAGGCATGTGCTGCCATGCATGACCAAATGCATTTATTTATCCAGAAAATAATTTTTGGAAATTGATTTACTGTAATAGACACAGATGCAATAAATAAGTGACATGAGGAGGGGGCTGGGGATTTAGCTCAGCGGCAAACCGCCTGCCTGGCAAGCGCAAGGTCGTGAGTTCGGTTCCTGGTACCAGAGAAAAACCAAAAAAAAAAAAAAAAAGTGATATGAGGAATAAAAGATGATTTGCAAGAGTATGAGTGGACTTATACCAGAAAATCAAGGATAATGACTGTAGTCAAGTACAAAACCTAGCTCTGAGCTCCTGGCAGCCTCGGTACAGAAGGAATAAAATAGGTCATGTGATTGTTTAGAAAAAGGAAGCATAGTTATAATCTTTTCTTTACCATAGGAGTGAACATTAAATAACCTGGATAGGTCCAGCTTCCTGAAACCCAAGACTTCAGCTCTTGAAATCGTGGCATTAATCTATGTTTAGTAGTAGGTCGCATTGAGGTTTTTGTTTTTTGGTTGTTTTGTTTTGATTGGTTAGTTTGTTTTGTTGAGACAGGGTCTCACTGCAGTTCAGGTTGGCCTCAAACTGATGGGGATCCTCTGCCTCAGTCTCCCAAGTGCTAGGATTACAGGTGTGTGCAGCCATGTCCAGCTTCATGTTGGTATTTTAAAATATAAAAATTTGAGAAGAAATACAGAGATGAATTACATCAGGTCATTTTACCCTTCCGTGCATGTAGAGGGCTAGCAGGGGATCAGAAGGGAAGCACAGGACAGTAGAGGAGGTGAGAATTACAGATAGGTAAGAAACCCATGATGCTACCTGTGGGTACCAGTAGACCGACCCTTCATATAGTTTTTGAGAATCTTCCCTTTTACCATCCTAGATCCTTTGTCTTGTCTGCTTCTTCAGTAGCTACTTCTGTTATGGAGGTCATCCTTTCTGTCCTAGAAGACTCATTAGTCAGGGACATAGAGGTGACAGCTTTATTTCTTAGTTGTTCACGTTCCCACCACTAAAGTACACTTACAAAATCCATAACTTCAGGAGCAAGATCATTTTAGACTATAAGTAAAGTCAGCCAAAGTTTCCATGACTTTTCTGTGAGTTGTCTGCCGCTGAGTTCAATCTTCTTGCGTTCCCATCCCAGCTCTGTACTCTGCCTGCAGCTTCAGCTGTGCTGCTCACTCTCCGCATACAGTGTCAAACCCAAAGGCACAGCAGGGTCCCAGGAGAGCCAGAGAAAGTAGTAAAATATACAACAGGATTGGTGGCAAGTTCAGATTGGTGGCACTGAAGACTTCTGCTTTTGAGATAGTGGTATTTATCCATTTTTGGTAGTAGGTCACGTTGGCATAGACCCCAGGAAGATATGTACCACAATCTGATCCCCAGCTTACCACTCCTATCTGGATCCATACACCATCAATACGACATGACAGAGGTCCCCCAGAGTCACCCTGAAGAAGAGAGAAAGGTCATGAGTATAGTGGAAAAGGACATGAGGAGAGAATATTCACAAGGGATAGTGTTTGGAACTGAGCTATAAGTTAACTCACAGGGCTGAAGAACACTGCGGAACTGGACTTTGCACTGCTTTAGGGAGAGAGCACAGGAATTCTAGAATCAGAGAATTTGAAATGGGTAGGGACTTTAGCAAAACACATTGCTAATTTCAGTATATTCATGTGTTATGTGATAAAGCAAGTACCATTAATGTGATAACTTCTTCACTCATGAAGTTTTTCTTTCACAAAGTTAAATTTGTCCAGTTAAATGCCTTTTTCTGTTCTTCAGTTCTGCCTTTTTTCTTCTGTTAAAAGAATTATTTCTTACGTAAAATGATAGTGATAGTAGTTAGTATGTCTCTTAATCTTGCTCTTCTTTTATAGTAACATTTTCACTATAATTTAGATACCATACAATGGACCCATCTGAAGTACGCAGGTTTTTAGTATGTTTACAGAGTTGTGCCACCATTATCACTCCCTTATACTTTCTCTTCTTTTCTCTTTCTTTCTTTTTGTTTGTTTTGTTTTGTTTTGCTTTTTTGGAGACAGGGTCTCGCTATGTAGTTCATGCTGGTCTGAACTCATGATGATCCTCCTGCCTCAGCCTCCCAAATACTGGGACTATAGGTGTGTACCACTATGCCCAGCAACCACAACCCATTTTAGAACATTTTCCTCACCCACCCCCCAAGAAAACCCATTCCCAGTAGTTACCAGCCCCTTTTCTTCCAAACTGTCCTAGCCCTAGGCCAACTGGTAATCTGTTTCATATAAATGGAATCATATAGTATGTGGCCTTTTGGAACTGTGTTCTTAAATTTAGCATACTTTTTTCAAGGTTTATCTCCGTGACAGCATACATCAGCACCCCATTTGATTTTTATGGTTGAGTAGTTACATTGATGTACCACGTTTTGTTTGCCCACTCATTAGCTGGTGGACATTTTGGGTTTTTCCACTTTGGGGCTATGAATAACTCAGGCTGCTATGAACATTCATGTATAGATTTTTACATTGGCTGTTTTAATTTCTCTTGGGGATTGTGATGGTTTATGTCTAGGTGTCCTCCCAAAGCCTCATTTGGTCATAGAGTTTTTTCAGTGGTGGCTGAATTTAGAGTGTGTCATGCTGGGATTAAGGGTGGGTGATTGCTGGATCCGTCCACTGATTGATTTGGTGCCTCCCTAATCCCAGCAGTCTGGATAAGATGTAAGGGGCAGAAAGATGATGTTAAGCCTCCTTGTTGCTTTTGCTGTCTTCTGCCACCAGGAACAGTTGCCCCTCTGCCATGTACAACCTCATGTAGAGCCAGCCAATTATGGACTGAAACCTCTACAAACTGTGAGCTAAGTAAACCTTTCCCCCTTTAACTTTGGGTGTTGGGTATTTGCTCTCAGCAATGAGAGAAAAGTAACTAAGATGAATATATATCTAGGAGTGGTATTCCTGATACGGTAACTCAGTGTTTGACCTTTGGAGGAACTGCCAGTTCTCCAAAGAAGCTGCACTATTTTACCTGCAAACAGCAGTCTATGAAAGTGCAGCTTTTCTACATCTTTGCCAATTCTGTCTTGATCATTGCTGTCCTAGTAGGTGTGAAATAATAGCTCATTGTAGTTTAGATTTACATTTCCTTGATGGCTACTGATGGGATTTTTTCGTGTGCTTATTGACTATTGGTGGATCTTCTGAGAAATACCTATTCTGATTCCCTGCCTTTTAAAGAAAATTGTGTTGTCTTTTTACTATGGAGGCACAAGTATTCTTCATATGTTGTAGATACGGAGCTTTCGTCATAAGTATGATTTGCAAAGAAATATTTTCTTCCATTTCATAGGTTAGCTTTTTACTTCCTTCGTGGTGTCGACTGGAACACAAAAGCTTTGAATTTTGTAAAAGTCTTACTTACACTTTTAGTATCATATTTAAGAAAAAACTGCCTAATCAGAGTCACAAGGATTTACTGCTGTTTTCTTCCAAAAGTGTTCTGATTTTAGTTCTTAAATTTAGGTCAGATATGTCATGAGTTAGTCCTTATATATGGTGGGTGTCCAAGTTTATTCTTTTGCATGTGGGTATCTAACTTTATTTGTTGAAATGACTATTCTTTGCTCATAAATTATTTTGATACCAGTGTCTAAAATTAACAAAAAGTAAAGGTTTGTTTCTGGACTCAGTTCTTTTCTTTTCTGTTCATTTATATGTGTCTAGCGTTATGCCAGTACCACACTATCTTGATTACTATTGCTTTGTAGTAAGTTTTGAAAATCAGAAAGTGTAAGACTTTCAAACATCTTTCTTTATGGGCCCCCTGAATTTCTATATTTTGTTCTTAGTATCTCAAAATCTGCAAAGAAACCAGATGAGATTTTGGTAGGGATTGTGTTGAACTATAAATCTACTTGGAAAATGCTGCCATTTAAATGAGGTCATCTTCTGATTAAAGAACTTGGAATGTCTTTTTATTTAGTTAACTCTTCTTTAATTTTAAAAATATTTTGTAGTTGTCAGGGTACAGGTTTTCTCCTTCTTTTGTTAAATTTATTACTAAGTATTTTATTTATTTTTTGGTGCTGCGGATTAAACCTTGGATCCTGTTCATAGTAAGCATGCATTCTCCAACAGAGCTACACCTTTAGCCCCTCTTAAGTATTTTGTTTTTGTACTGTTGTAAATAAAATGTTGTTTTCTTAATTTTCTTGGATTAGTCTTCTTGTAAGTATATACAGATACAGTTGCTTTTTTATATATTGTTCTTATAACCTGCAACTTTGCTGAATGGGTTTATTCTAATTTGGTGAAGGGGAGAGGAGTCCTTCAGATTTCTATGTTCACTATTGGTTTTGTTTTGTTTTTGAGACAGGGTCTCAAAACTGGCTTTGAACTTAACTACATAGTCCAGACTAGCCCCAAACTTGTAGCAATCCTCTTGCCTCAGCCTCCTGAGTGCTGCGATTACAAGTATGCGCCACCACACTTGGCTTTGTTGTTGTTGTTCTCACTGTGTTGCCCTGGTTGGCCTCACCTCCTGGGTTTAAGTGATCCTCCTGCCCTTGCCACTCAAGCGGTTGGGACTATAGGCACGTGGATGCACTTAATCAGATTGAGAAAATTCCCTTCTGCTCCAAGATTGTCCAGTATTTTTTTTTTTATCATAAAGGGTTATTGGATTTTTTGAAATGCTTTTTCTCTGTCTGTTGACATGATCATACAGTTTTTGCCTTTTAGTGTATCTAACATGGCATGTTACAGTTATTGATTTTTAAATTTTAAATCAACCTCACATTCCTGGGATAAATTTCACTTGGTCATAGCCTATAATCCTTTTTATATGCTGTTAGATTTGGTTTACTAGAGTATTATGTTGAGGAGTCCTCTACCAGTGTTAATAAGAGATACTGATCTTTGGTTTGCTTGTGATATCTTTATCTGGTTTTAGTCTCAGGGCACCAGTGATCTCATAAAATGAATTGGAAATGTGTCCTCCTATTTTTTGGAAGAGTTTGCAAAGAGTTGGTATTAGTCTTTCAGTATTGGATAGAATTCAACAGTGAAGCTTCTGAGCCTGGGCTTTCATTAGTTGGTAGCTATTTTTTATTTTGGTGGTACTAGGGATTGAACCCAGGGCCTTAAGCCGGGGATATAGCTCAGTGGCATAAGTGCCTGCCTGGCAAGCGTAAGGTCCTGAGTTCCATTCCCTGTACCAAAAAAATAAAAAAATAAAAAAACCAAAACAAAACAAGAACCCAGGACCTTGCATATGCTAGGTAAGTAGGTGTTTCACTACTCAGCTAAACCCCTGGCTCTTACAAATTTTATTTTATTTATTTTTTCATTTGTTTTTACTATGTTGTTCAGGCTGGCCTTCAACTCACTGAATAGCCCAAGCTCTTGGCAATCCTCTTATCTCAGCCTCCCAAATTAGGGATTACTATACAGGCATGTACCGTCATGCCTGGCTCTTAAATTTTATTTTGAAACAACATTGTGTTAAATTGCTTTGGCTGGCCTCAAATTTGTGAGCTTCTTTTTTCCAGTAGCTTGCTACATGTGTGTGACACAACGCATGGATAATTGGTAGTTTTGTTACTGATTTTTGTTTTGTTTTGTTTTGTTTTTCCCTCGGTGGAATGGGGGATTGAACTCAGGCCCTTTGTACTGAACTATACCATCACCAAGTTACTCAGGCTCAGGCTTAGGCTAGAATTGAATTTTGGATCCTCTGGCAGGACCAGGGATATAGCTCAGCGGCACAGCGCCTGGCTTGGATCCTATGGCATCAGCATCCCAGAGTATTGGGATTATAGGTGTGCGGCACAATGCCTTGCCAATTTTTCGGGTTTTGGGGGTTTTTTTTGTTTGTTTTAGCACTAATGCAATCTCTTTGCTTGTTTTGGTTCTGTTCAGATTGTGTTTTTTTTTATTAGTCCCAGTAGTTTGTATGTTTCTAGGAATTTGTCCATATCATTTTAGTTATCTAACTTATTGGCATATCGTTATTCATAGTATTATCTTGCCTATCTTTGTCTGTCTCTGTCTCTCTTGTCCTGTCTCTGTCTCTTTGTTTCCCTCTCTTTCTCTTTTTCTTTCTCTTTCTTTCTAGTAGTGAGGATCAAACACAGGGGTACTCTTATCACTGAGCTATAACCCCTATTTGTAAAATTTATTTATTTTTAAAATTTGAGATAGAGTCTTGCTAAATTACGTAGACAGTATTCAAACTTCTGATCCTCTTGCTTCATCCTCCGTTGGTACTGGGATTACAGACATCTGCATCCCTTTCCTTATTTTTTAAAGATAATGTCCTTTATTTTATTACTAGAGTTTATTAACTTTAATATTTGAGTTTTCTTTTTCTCTTGTTGAACCCAGCTAAATTTTTTTTTCAACTCTGTTCGTCTTTTTTAGCAACTTTTGCTTTTGTCTGTTTTCTATATGTCTGTTCTTTATTTGAGTAATTTTCACTATAACCCTTGTTTCTTTCTTTATGCTTTCTGGGCAAATACTCTACTACTTAGATACATCTCTAGTCCCTTTGTGTAGTGTCTTAATATGAAATATTAGGTTATTAATTTGAGGTATTATTGTTTTTTAATGTAGCAGTTTACTGCTATATATTTCATTCTAAATACTGCTTTAGCTGTATCCATAAGATTTGGTATGCATATATTCATTTCTTCATTTTCATTCATGTCAAAACATTTCCACGAGGCATGGTGACACATGCCTGTGATCTCAGCACTCAGGAGGATAAGGCAGGATGACTGCTGTTTGAGGACACCCTGGGCTGCACAGTGAGCTCAAGGCCAGCCTGAACTGCATAGTGAGACCCTGTCTCAAAAAGACAAAAAAAAAAAAAAAAAGTACATACTGAAATGTACCTATAAAAATAAAAAGTTGGCAATTGTGTGTCAATTTTAATATATTCATGAAAATGTATACATCTGTAAATCTAATAGTCAATGGTTAATATTGGTCTAGAAGTAGAAGAGATTAATTGATATGCCCAGGGAAACACAGGAATTATTGTCAGATCCCTTATTTCCTGGCTTCCAGTTTACTGTTATTTACAGGTAGGAAAACCTGGATCAAAAAAGGTGTCTTAAAATATAGTGTCAACCACCAACACTTACCTTGCAGCTATCCTTCCCAGTTCGTAAACCTCCAGCACAAATCATGTCTTCCTTAATGACTGGCTCCAGTGCTGGGAAGAAAATGCCAAATGGGTTATAGAGATGGTCACAGTCCTCGTAGTTAATGATGGGTATTTCCACTTCCTGGAGCCTAGAAGGATGAATAGGAACTGTAGAAGAGGATGGAAATGAAAGGTTAAAACAACCTGGGAAGGTACCAGGGCAAATAAATGACATTTCAATCATATTTTCTTATAGGAGGAACTTTTGATATAATTCATTCTGAAGCAGTGGGGAATGCAAAATTCTTTTTGTTTGAATGTTTTCGCTGTGTCAGTGTTCTAAATAAAAAGTAATTTTGATAGCTTCTGATTGAGTAAGGATGTGAGTATCCTAAAATTTTTCCTATTTTCCTGCTGCCAGATCAGTTCCTGTGTTATCTTTATTCCATCTTGGGAAGAAGTTTATATAACAGTTTAAAAACAGGTAAAAACGCTGGGCTCCCTCCAGACTTTAAGTCAAGAAAACAAACCTCTTTTTTTTTTTATAGTGACTTAAAAAATTACATGTTTGTGGCACTTTATGAACACATTCCTTGTGGGTAGTACATGACATGTCTTATTTTTTACAACCCTTTCCCTTCTCCCCTCCCTCTCCCCCTCTCTCCAGCTTAGTTGCCTTCCCATTTTCCAAGGATCTATCTCCCTATAGTATTTTCTATTGTCTTTTTATTTTGCTTTTTGGGTTTGTCATATAAGAGAAGCCGTACAATTTTTAAGCTTGTGTGTCTGATTTATTTTATTTAACAATATGGGTTCAAGGTGCATGCATTTTTCTATAAATGAGTCAAGTTTGTCTTTCTTTACGGTGAAGCAGTACTTCATCGTGTATAAATATCACTTTCTTTATCCATTCATCTGTTGAGGCCATATAGGCTGTTTCCAAGATGTAGCTATTGTGAATTGTGCTGCTATAAACATGACCATGAATCACTGTACAATGAATGATGCCTTTAACTTTTTCAGGAAGATACCTAGAAGGGGAATAGCTGGATCAAATGGAATTTGTATTTTTAAGTTTTTTAAGGAATCAGCATACTGATTTCCATAGTGGTTCTTACATGCTCACCAACAATGTGGAAGGGTTCCCCCATCTCACCTACAGCTTCGGCAGTATTTGTTATTTGATTTCTTGATGATGGCCATTCTTTTGGGGGTAAGGTGGAATCTTAGTGTTGTTTTAATTTGCATTTCTGTAATGGCCAGTGATGTTGAGCATTTCTTCATGTATCTATGGCCATGTGTACTTCTGAGAAATTTCTATTCATTTCAGTGGGTCTTTTATTTGGTAGATTTTTTATTTAGTAGATCTAATTTTTTTTTATTTTTATATTCTAGATATTAATCCTATCTGAGATATGGCTGGTAAAATTTTTTTTCCCATTTTGTAGGTTGTCTCCTCACTGTGTTGTTTCCTTTGTTGTGCAGAAGCTTTTTAATTTGATGAGTTTCTTTTTGTTGATTTTTTGATATTATTTCTTGTGCAGTTAGAGTTCTATTCAGAAAATCCTTGCCTATGCCTATGACTTAAGTGTTACCTACCTTATCTTCCAGCAAGTAGTTTCTGTTTAATATTTATTTAGGTCTGTGAACCATTTTGATTTTAGTTTACTGCATGGTGAGAGATATGGGTCTAGCTTCGATCTTCTGCATGTGAATACCCAGTTTTCCCAGCACCATTTGCTAAAGAGGCTATCATTCTTCCAGTGTATGTTTTTGGCCCCTTTGTCAAAGATCAGGTGATTAAATGTGCCTGGAGTTGTTTCTGTATTCTCTATTCTATTCCATTGGTCCACATGTGTGTTTTTGTATCAGTACCGTGCGATGGGTATCACTATAATTTTGTAATATAACTTTGCTCATATTGCGTAGGATTGTTTTTCTATTCTGATCTCTTCTGTTTCCATACATACTTTAGGATTGTTGTGTGAGAAATTTTGTTGGTATTTCAATTGACCTTCCATTAACTGTGTATCAGTTTTGTATCAGTTTGACAATTTTGTTTCTGCCTAGCTACAAATGGGATGTCTTTCCATTTCTCTGGTTGATCCTATCTGTTTGTGACAATGGTGTGTTAAAGTCCCCTGTTATGATTGTGTTGCTGCTTATTTCATTTTTCATGTCTGTTAAAATTTGTCTTATATAGTTGGGTGCTCCTATATTTGGTGCATAGATGTTTATGATTGTTGACACGGTGTATTACATTAATTGATTTGCATATATTGAACCATCCCTGCATTCTTGGGATGAATCCCACTTGGCCATGGTGCATAATCTTCTTAATGAGTTGTTGTATTCTGTTTGCTAGCATTTTATTGAGAATTTTTGCATCTATATTCACTAGGGATATTGGCCTGTAGTTCTTTTTTTTGGTTGGGTCTTTCTCTGGTTTTGGTATCAGGATAATATTTGCCTCCAGGAATGAGTTGGGGAGAATTCCTTCCCTTTCAATTTCATTAAAGAGTTTGAGAAGAATTGCTGTTAAATCTTCTCTAAATTTCTTGTAGAATTCAGCTGTGAATCCATAAGGACCCGGGCATTTCTTCATTGCCAAGTTTTTTTATTACATTCTCAATTTCACTGGCTAATACTGATTATTCAGGATTTTTATTTCAGCTTTGGTAATTCATATGTATCTAGAAATCTGTCCATTTTCTCTGTGTTTTCCATCCTATGAAAGTAAAGATTTTCAAAGTAGGTACTGATGATCTTCTGAATTTCTTCCAGATCTGTAGTGATTTCACCTCTTTCATTCCTTATTGCATGTATTTCAGTTTTTTCTTTCCTTTTTTTGATAAGGTTGGCTAGGGGTTTATGTATTTTACTTATTCTTTTAAAGAACCAACTCTTTGATTCATTAATTCTTTGTATTTTTTTTTTAGTCTCCATTAATTTCTGCTCTGAGCTTTATAATTTCCTGTCTTTTTTGGGCTTTGGGTTTGACTTGCTCTTCTTTTTCTAGGCGCTTGAGGTCCAGCGTAAGATTGTTTATTTGTGTTTGTTCAGTTTTCCTGAGGTGGGAATTCACTGTTATAGATTTCCCTCTGAGGACTGCTTTCATTACATCCCACAGGTTCCTGTAGGTTGTATGTACATTTTTGTTTGATTGCAAATAGTGGTTAATTTCTACTTTGATTTCATCTGTGACCCAGCAGCTGTTCAGGAGGATGTTATTTAATTTCCAACTGTTATGGAGTTTTTGTGTTTTCTTTTGTCATTAATTTCCAATTTCATTGCACTATGGTCTGATAGTATACATGGGATAATTTCAGTTCTTTTGCATTTACTTAAACATGTTCTATGTACTAGCATATGCTGTGTTTTAGAGAATGTCCCATGTGCAGCTGAGAAGAATGTGTATTCTGATGCTGTTGGATGGAACACTCTGTAAAGGTCTACTAAGTCCATATGTTCACAAGTTTGGTTAAGTTCTGTTATTTCTTTCCCGATTTTTTGTCAAGTTGATCTTCTATTTTTCTGATGTACTCTTTTATTTCCTTTTTCAGAGTCCTGACATTTTTATTGTATACGTCTTTCACTTCCTTGGTTTATTCCTAAGTATTTAATTTTCCTTTCTGTTGTTGTGGATAATATTGTTTTCCTAATTTTTTTCTATTTATTTTTATGTGTTGATTTTGTTTCCTGTTACATTATTGAATTTAATTATTAATTCTAAGAGTCTTTTAATGGAATTTTTGAGTCTTCTTTATAAAGGATTATGTCATCTGCAAATAGTGGTAATTTGACTTCTTCCTTTCCTATATGTATCCCTTTTATTTCTTTCTCTTGCCTGATTGCTTTGGCTAGTGATGAGCCTCTTTATGAGAGAGGTGATTATGTATTTAAATTGTTAGTGTCAACTCTTCCAGCTATAGCAGGATTTAGGAGTAAATGGAGTAAACATGTAAATGTCAAAGAAAACATGTTTTTAAAGACTTACAGGTAATATCTTTAGTTTGGCCTGATTTTGTTGGAAAATATTTGCTGTAGTGAGGATATGCCTAGAATGTGAATGTTCTGGAATAGGTACAAAAGGGTAACACATAGCCTGTGGTGTTGAACCTATGGCATGTGTGCCAAAGCATGCTGTGTGTTATCACTGAAAGCTCTAAAAGGTTTGCCATCACTGATAAATGAACCACTCTTTCTGCCCATTCTCACCTGGACCTCCTTTAAGTCGTCCCCATCCAGTCACCCAACAAGAGGCTGGAATTTTTAGGTGCTTTGTGATATTGGGTAAGCAGATGGGCAGGATGAGAGAAGTGAAGGTGACTCGGGAGGACAGTTTCACCAAAGCAATGTCTGCGTTTGTATTGTAGTGTTCCGGATGGATGATGATTTCGGACACAAAGTACTCTTTGACTTGACTTGAGTATTGTGTTTTAATAGATCCCGTCCACACACTATATGCAGATATCAATGACCTAAGGGGAACAAGAGAATACTATAAAAGCAAAGTGTGCTTATGACCTATAGGTGGTTCAGAACAAATTGCCTATAAGTAGCACTAAGTGAAAAAAGGAGGGCAGCACATAAGAACTTAACCAGGGCTAGGTTAATCTTGGGCTGGGGTTGGTTTGTCCCCTTCTCTCATCCTCTCCCCTTTTCTCCCTCAAACACTCTTCCTGTGCTCTTGTCTTCCATGTTATAGTCTGCATTTTCTCTCCTGCATACCTCTCCTGTTTTCCATGATTTCACCACCACTGTATGCTTAATAGTCATAGCTCTTTAGTGCCAGGTTTGATTTCTGTTCTGAATACTAAACCTTTAACTTAAAAACTTAAGCAAGGCATAATGCAGATTATATATGTGCAAATTAAAATTTTCAGGTAGTTTGATAAGATGTATAAAGTAAAGAAATAAAAACAGAAGTTTGCTATTCTAGGATCTAAATTTTCACTCTTCAGAGGCAATCATTCTCATTTCTTCTAACTCTTACTGGTTTTCCTAGTATTTTCAAGAAATCTTACATATTGCTGTTTCTTGACCCCCGCCCCCAACACACACACACTTTAGAACATTCAGTTCCTAGTTAAAAGGTAAGGATTGAGCTTTCTCCTCCTCTTCCTCCTCCTTTTCCTCCTTCTTTGATACTAGAAATTGAACCTATGGGCACTCTACCACTGAGCTGTATCCGTTGTGCTTTTTTAAAGTTTGTTTTGAGACTGAGCCTTCCTAGGTTCCCAGGCTGGCTCAGTGTGAAGGTGCTGAGATCAGTCGCTAGAACACACATACACAAATTGTTAGACTGGTATTTAATATATATGATCTTATGGCTATACAAACATTATTTACCACTGTTCATATTGGGACCTATGAATGCATTTCTTATAAAATCTTTTCCTTTTCCTGGCATTAACAATGTGATCCCACTTTTGTTTTCTTTATACCATCACTAATTTATCATTTTTCCCCCAAAAGTCTCTGTCAAAAGTATAAATCTCTTCTCAGTATGTCAGAACTTGTCAGACATTCTGTTAAGATTATCTTTTTTGGAGCCCTCTGCCCTCACATTCCAATCTAGGCCTCTATGGCTACCATCTTTGTACTTCCCTTTTTTAAAATTTTTTGAGATAGGGTCTTGCTGTGTATTTAAGACTGGTTCTGCCTCAGCCTCTTGAGTACTGGGGTTATAGGTGTGTGCCATCATGCTTGGCAGCACTTCCCTTTATTCTAATTTTCTTAGGAGTTTTCTGTGTTACATCTTTCCCTTTTTGTCTGGACTCCATGTTTTCCTGTTTTTCCCTCTTTTATTTTGATGAAACATTCCTCTATGGCTTCCTGAGGAAAGAGGAAAGTGCATGAGAGGTAACATTTTCTTGCTATTTTACATATTTGAAAATATCTTATTTCTGTCCCATACTTAATTTGCAGTTTGTATATGGGTAAAACTCTAGGTTGGAAATCATTTTTCATAGCTTCATTTTCTTTGAGCTTTCTCTGTTGTTGCTGAAAAGTCATTTTAACTTCTGTGCATATTAGTTATCTACTGTTGCATATAGCTAGTTTCTGCAAAACCTAGTGGCTTAAAGAACAGATATATCTCATAGATTCTGTGGGCCAGGAATCAGGTATGACTTAATCAGGTGTTTCTGACTCAGGGTCTCGCATATGACTGCAGTCAGGGTGGGCCTCAGTCATCTCAAGGCCTGCCTGAGGGAGGTTCTATTCCAGACTTACTTATTTTGGCTTTGAGTCTTCATTAGCTGTCGGATGGAGATACCAGTTCACCTGGGCCTCTCCGTGATACTACTCAGCGTGGGACAACTTACTTTTCTCAGAGAGTGACTCCGAGAATTCAGATTGTGTTTGTGACCCAAGAAAGCTTAAGATGAAACCCCCTAATTGGTATTTATGAAGTGATGTGGCAAAAAGTAAGAAAGTTCCATGACCTGTGCCTAGTACCTCCTACTTTGAGAGACCAGAGTGACCCATCTTACTACTTTCAATGGCCTATGGCAGTGACGGTGAAGCTTTTTCATTTTTTTTTTTGTTTTGGTTTTTTTAGACAGTCTTGCTGGGTAGCCCAGGCTGGCCTCAAACTCACAGCAATCCTCCTACCTCAGCCTTCCAAGTGCTGGAATTACAGGTGTGCACCATCACACCCGGCATGGTGAAGCTTTTAGAGCTTTCAGTAATATGAACAGCCTGCTACAGCATACGTATGGCAATAGATTTACCACCACTGGTCTATGGGTTCATTCATGAAACAGTTCAAATACTTGTTGAGAATAGCCTGTGTGCTGGCTGCCAGCTAGAACTCACCCTCGGATGCAGTGTGCTGCTGTCAGTACCCATCTCTCACTGATGAGGGAACCTCCACAGATATGATTCCGGTGAAAGCGTAGGCTGACCTGCCAGGGCCAGCGTCCCACAGCAGCATCCTGGCCCCCCACAATGCGGCTTGAGTATACAGGCCGTCCACACACTAGAGAAAGAAGAGGAAAGAGACTGGAGGTCTGAGTCCTGTTGCTCAGGTCCCCGTCCATACGCTATCCCGAATGTCTGTCCTTCTTAGGGCTGGAACCCTCCCTGTACCCCAAGACCCTGTCCTATTCCAGTTTCAAACCCCACAATATGGAGCCCAGGTGGAGGCCACTCACCTTCCTGCAGGTTTTCCTTTTCGGTAAAAGAGCCTGGGTGGGACCCTAAAGAAGACAGGCTGCAATGTTAACATATAATAACACATTGTGTGTCTAGAGTCTTCTCAGGTGGGTGTTGAAGGCCAAAATTGGTAACTATGTAGCTGTCTACACATCCCTACCTTTTAAGGCTGCTGTAATGTGAGTTTTACTTGACTCAAGGTCATCCTCAGGAATATCCAATATTTTAGGTTGTAAATACAGTGATGTGCTCAGATGTTTTTGAGATTTGTAAGGTGTTTATTTTGTGCTGTTTTCTTTAACTAAATTGGCATTTTACAGTATTTTATTTTCTTACCTACCTGTTACCTCTTTGCTTCTCTCAGCATACCCTTATAAATCAGCATAGGCCAGAAAAATAAACGAACAAGTTTCTGTCAGAGGCACTTGCAGTGCCCTCTGTTTGAAATGTAGTTTTCCTGGATCCTCTTAGCTACTCATTTCCATCAAGTCACGCTGTCTGTCTTTCTGTCTGTCTCTCTGTCTTATCTGTTTATGGTATTGAGGATTTGAACCCAGGGCCTTGCACATGGTAGGCAAGCACGTATTAGTTATGTCCCTCACCTCCTTTAAGTCTTTGCTCAGATGATTCCTTAGTGAGGCTGTTTTTGACCACCTTATTTAAATTACAGCATATCTTTTGCCCCTGAACTTCTTCTCTTTGGTTTTTGAGGCGGGACCGCACAATGTAGCCAACACAGGCCTTGAACTCTGGGCAACCCTTATGCCACAGCCTCCAGAGTAGTGGGATTATAGGCGTGCACCACCACACCCTGCTTGTTCTTGAACTTTAGGTGCCCTTTTTCTTTTTTTTTTTTTTTTTCTGTCTTTTTGAGACAGGGTCTTGCTATGCAGTTCAGGCTGGCCTTGAGCTCACTTTGTAGCCCTGGCTGGTCTTGAACTTACAATGATCCTCCTGTCTCAGACCCCTGAGTGCTGGGATTATAGGCATGTGCCACCACGCCCAGCACGCTTTTTCTTGTATAGTATTTATTACCTTCTGATATGCTTTTTAGTTTACATATTTAATATGAACATTAATTGTAAGTCCAATGAAGAGAGAGATCTTAGCTTTGTTTATTGCTGTATTCATCCAAGCGCATAGTACTGTGCTGGGCGTATAGTGAGCTCTCAGGACTTTTTCCAGGTCATGTTATTACTAATAACTTTCCGTGGATAAAATATTATTCTATAGAATCTATACGATGGCTTCTTGAATCAGAAACCTCTCCCAGTCCTGTTAACTCACCCAGCAGGAGGAGCAGCAGGATGGCCTGGCCAGCTAGTCCCATGTCTCTGTCCTTAGGAGCAGCACTTCCTGCTTCCTTGACCAGACTCACAGTGCAGAGGAGCCAGTTGGGGAGCAGCCAGAGTTTGGCGAGATTGGCTTGTCCTTCTAGGTAGAATCCCCTAGGATTTTAGTCCTCCTGTGCTCCTGTTCTGAGAGGACCAGACTTTAGAAGAGCAGCTGCAGGACCCCAAAGAGCTGGGGGGCCTGAGGTGCCCCTGCTGTGTTGGGGAGCAGAGACCTATCTGGGGTTTCTTCCTGAAGGAGGGCATGGAAGGATGGCAAGGATGGGTAGAGTAGCAGCTGAAGGAGCTGGAAGGAAGTAGACCCTAACAAAGAGATGGAGATGGACAGAATTGTTCAAAAGCAAGAAATAGGAAAGAAGAAATTAACCCCGTACCTGGTTCATTTTTCCCCTTGTTCTTATGTTTGTTACACTGTTAGGCATAGAATCTACTCCAGGTAGTTTCCTGAAAAGTAGACTGTAAGATGGATTTGTGGGCAGGGCATTTGTTGGATGTAGCCTCAGGATCAGCACAGCACCTCTGTGGGGGCAGGAGGGAGAGCAGGGTTGGGTAGGGGGTGAGGTGATTGTGATGCGTTTGGTTCAGAGACCTTAGCCCATCCAAGTTACCCTGGAGCTGATGTAGCCTTCAGAGCTGTCCTGAACTGAAAGGGCCAGGGATATAGTTCAGTGGCATAAGTGCCTGCCTGGCAAGTGCAAGGTTCTGAGTTTGATTCCCGGTACCAAAAAAAGAAAAAGAAAAAGAAAAAAATGAACTGAGGTGAGAGCGATGCACTCTTGGACATCTGCATCATGAGGTCGCTGATGTGCAAGGGCATAACCTTGGAGAACTGGCAGTGCTGGAAGTTCTTAGGATGGGAATTAGCTGGGACCTGTCAGCAGCTGGCACTCTGGTGGATAGGAGTTATAAATGCATTAATTTTAAAGGGAGTTCAGTGTAGTATATCACGGCATTCACTACAGAGTTCTCCCTGTGCCTGATAGGTTTTCTGTACCAGTTTGGGGGGTGGGGCAGGTAGTAGGTCTGTGGAGGTAGAATGCAATAAATTGGCACTCCAGAGGCTGAGGCAGGATTTCCATGAGTTCAAGGCTAGCCTGAACTACATAGTGAGCCCCTGCCTCAAAAAAACAAAAGCAAAACAAACAAAAAATAAAAAAGAATTGAGCCCTTTGGGTAAGGATAATTCAGTTATGGGTAACAGGGACCCACTTCAAGTTAACATAAATCAAGAAGGGAGGTTGTCTGTCTGTTAATGTTTTCCTCCTTTTATTTTTAAAATTTAAAAAAAAAAATCAAGGGATTATTTTAAAGATGATATTTAAGCTGAATTATGTCTTCCCAAAAGTTCATTGGAAGACCTAATTTGAGATCCTAATCCCTCAAATGCAGAGTGTGAACATATTTGGAGATTATAGTCTTTAAGTTGGTAATTATGTTAAAATGAATTCAACTAATATGAATGGTGGGCCCTAATATGAATGGTGTTCTTCAAAGAGGAGGACATTTGGACACAGTTTATGTACACAGGGAAAAGATAGCTATTTACAAGTTGAGTGGACCTGGAATAAATCTTTTTTTTTTTTTAATTACATTTATTGGTACCTTTTAGGTGTACATAATGATCACATTCATCATAGGGAATTTGTACCTGTACATGACACAACATGATTTTTTATTTTTTTCCATTCTCCTACCCTCCCTTCAACCCCCTTCCCCTCCTTATTTACAGAAGCTTTGTTTCCGTTTTTCCTCGTCTCATTTTTGTCTTTTTCCTTCCCTCCCCACTTCCCCATCCCTAGATCCCCTTCCCACTTGAACATTTTCTTTGTATTTCACAATATCTATAGTATATTTTGGTCCTTATTTACACTTTCGATTTCTCACACCGGAGAAACAATGCAGTATTTACACATTTGTATCCAGTTTATTTCACTTGAGTATGACCTCAAGGTGCATTCATTTAGCTAGAAATGTCTCAAGTTTATCCTTCTGTATGGCAGAGCGTACTCCACTTTATAGAAAAACCACATCTTTAGCCATTCATCAGTTGATGGGCATTTGGGCTGTTTCCAAGATTTAGCTATGACAGACTGTGCTGCTATAGACATGGGAATGCATTTATTGCTGTCCTATGATGCTTTCAATTTTTTCAGGAAGATATCAAAAAGAGGAATACCTGGGTCAAATGGAACCTCTAGTCCTAGTTTTTTGAGGAATCTCCATGCTGATTTCCACAGTGGTTGCACTAATCTACACTCCCCACCAACAATGGAGAAGGATTCCTTTTTCCCCACAGCCCTACCAGCATTTGTTATTGGTTGATTTCTTGATAATAGCCATTCTCTCTGGGGTGAGCTGGAATCTCAGCATTGTTTTAATTTGCGTTTCTTGAATGACTAGTGATGTTGAACATTTTTCATATATTTATTTGCTGTTTCTACTTCTTTCTCTTGACAAGGGTCTGTTCATTATAGATGCCCATTTTTCGATTGTTTCTTTAAATTCGGGGGGGCTTTTTTATTTTGAGTTCTTTATATGTTCTAGATATTAATCCTTTATCTGATGAACAGCTGGCAAAAACTTTTTCCCACACTATGGGTTATCTCTTTACTCTTGGTGGTTTTTCTTGCTGTACAAAAGCTTTTTAATAAGGTGAGATCCCAGTTGTTGATTCTTTGTGATAGTTCCTGTGCAACTGGGGTTTTCTTTATAAAGTTTTTGCCTACACCAGTGTCTTCAAGAGTTCTACCTAGTCTGTGTTCCAGCAGATTTAGTGTTTCTGTCTGAATATTTAGATCTTTGATCCATTTTGATTTTAGTTTAGTGCATGGTGAAAGATAGAAGTCTAGTTTTAATCTGTGGCATATGGAAAGCCAGTTTTTGCAGTACCATTTATTAAAGAGGCTATTTTTCTCCCAGTGAAGGTGTTTAGTACTTCTTTGTGGAGACCTCTGGGGTTGCCAGCAGTCACCATGCATCTGCAGTTTTAAGCCGCCCCTCCCATGCAGTGAGAAAGCGCCACCTGCCTCCTCTTCTTTCTCTTTTGAAATTTTCTTCGCTCTCTCCATGGGCTTCACTTCTGGCTTCAGATACTTCCTGGTTCCAGGGACACACTGTCCTCCTTCTTCTCTTCCTCACATTACTATATTCGGGTGTTTGGACATCAAATCTTGGAGAGGCTCTTTCTCTGCTGCTCACAACTCTCTATCTTCCTGAAAGTCTTTGTTTGTTTGTTTCAGAGGGTGTCTCACTCTGTAGTTCAGGCCGAACTTGCTTATGTAGCCCAGGCTGGCCTTTAGCTCATAGTGATCCTCCTGCTCAGCCTCCCAAGTGCCGGAATTACAGGCGTGAGCTATCACACCCAGCAAATCCATCTTTCACGGTCCTAAGAAGGAACCAGCCCCACTGCCACCTTGAATTTGGACTTGGAGCCTAGAGAACAGTGAGAAATTGCTGTTTTTATTATTGTTGTTATTGAGCTGATATTACAACTTTATTTATTTGTTCTTTTGTTTGTTTGTTTTGACACAGGGTCTTGCTTTGCAGTTCAGGCTGACCTTGAACTCACTATGTAGCCCATGCTGGCCTCAAACTCACAGCAATCCTTCTGCCTCAGCCTCCCAAGTGCTGGGATTACAGGCATGCACCACCATGCCTGGCTCACAACTTTATTAATTTAATTCTGGGTAAACAAATTATCTTGGCGATGGTTAGGATTGATACTGATGATATTGATAGACCAGGGTTTCTCAACCATGGGCTGTTGACATTTTGAGCCAGATGGTTTTTTGTTTGTGAGGTGGCTGTCCTGTCATTACAGAATACTCAACAGCATCCCTCACCTCTGCCTAGATGGATAGTATCACCTACTTTAGGTTGTGACATGTCTCTAGACATTGCCAGGTAGGGGGCAGAATCACCAGGGAGTTGAGAGCTACTGTTGTAGAGAGAGGGTACCATTCAGGAATTCAGTCTTCTCTAGAGTATCCTGAAAATAAATAAGAACAACAGTAGACTTGCAAGTTTTTAAGCTTTTTACTATATTTGTATTTCTGGCAAAGCAAATGGGCTCTTGTCTCTTTTGTAACTCATTCCATCAGCTCAGTGTATTATATTAGGAAATGAGGAAGTCCCCCTATAAATTCATCTCCTGAAGAATAATTGATTTCTCTAGCACATGTGTAGCAGGCCTTAACTTTTGCCTTTTTTGGTACTTTGCAACAATAGATGCTAATGTTCCCTACTAAAAGATGTAGTCTGCTCTTGGCTCTTGAATTTGGACAAGAAATTTTTAGTTAGGCTAGTTTCACAAACTAGTAAGTTGTAAACTGTAGTCCATATATGCAGTATATTTTATGGCAGGCCCAAGTGCTGATAGATTTTTCCTGTCCCTGGCTCTTTGCCTTATTAACTAATCTGTAGGTTTTCCCAGTACCAGGTTGATTCTGTTCTGAGTTCTATCCTACTTGCCCTGAGCCCTAATTCCCATTAACCAGGCCCCTTTGCAAGAATTGGTGTTATTCTTGGGGTCATGAAAGGAAAAAATACTTCCTTGCTGTGTTTTCTGTTTTGTTTTTTTACTTCTACTCATCCTAATGGAATTCTTCCTTGCAGTTTTGACAGCTGGCTTTCTATAGTCTTAGCTGTCATTTTGTTAATTTAAAAAAACAAGACTGTTGCAGGATACTGTACCAGATGCTGTTAGAAGGTCAGGAAGATGGATAGGACATTAGTGGCTTTTTCTCAAGGCTGTTCTTACCAGTTCAAGAGAGTAAAGCTCTGTGCACCCAGATAACTCCAAACGGAGAGTAGGAAGCCATAAGAATGCAAATAACTGGAACCAAAGGGCAGTTATTATTTTGGCATAATATAAGGAAGAACCTCTAGCAAAGAATGAAAATAATTTGAAATAAATGGAAAGAGCCACATTTTTGGAGTCAGACAGTCCTAGCTAAACCTATAAAATTGGATAGCTGTGTGAAGGCGAGTTACTTAGCTCCCCTGGCCCACAGTTTTGTTGTTGTTGTTCTCATTTCTAAATGTGGGAGAAATAACTTGCTGAGCCGTTAAGACTAAGGAAGACAATATTTAAAGTGACCCGCATAGTACCTGATACAGAGAAGTCATAAGTTCCTGCTTTAGTTAAGGGATGAGATACAGATGTCATGTCACTCAGAGAATCCATCTAAGCAGGCCTTTCATAGGAGACACGATTTGGCCCAGCTCATCTCACTTTGGCTCTGGGCACTTTACCTTTTTAGCTTCTGGCATTTGAGAGTCATCAATGCCCCTAGAATAGATCAAATTCAAGAAGCTGACTGCCTCACTACATTTTAAGAGACTTTTGTATAAACTAGAATGTCTATTTGCACTGAGGACTGTTCGTTTCCATTATTGGAGTTTTCATTTTTTCTAACCAGGGCACTCCCTGCTTGATGATGTAATAATGGAGAAGCAAAATTAATAAGTAGGTGATGGTTTGAAGAGGTTTAAGATTTGAACAAGTGGAGGTGACTAATCTCCATGAGAGGTTTTCACTTACTGGGATGAAGTACTGTACTGTTGGCTCTTATTTATAGAAATTGAGTAAAAAGAGCACTTCTCTAGAACAGGTCATATTTTTCTAAGTAAATGCAAAATTTAGTCATGAGACTTTGGATGTCTCTCGCTTGGTAGCCGAGGTTCTGATGAAAACATAGTTATCTGAATTTTCCCTTCTTAAATTGCATGCTGACCACCCAGCTTCTTAATAGTTTTTTTATTCAGTGTGCAGTACTGTAGTGATTGTATTTAAGCTGTATATGATGTCCTTCCTCATGTGATGCCTGGAGATTATTTCCACATTTCTTAAGTTTAGTTTATTCTTATAATACATGAGATGTGTGTTTACGTGATCTTTTTTTTCCCCCCCTTAGAGGTATCTGTCTCATTTGCTTTACCCATTATGTGTATATTTTGCTTAACTTTTCAATTTTAGAGAATTCTGGTGGATAGTGAACATACTTGCACTTCCCATTTTCCCATTCTGGACAGTGAACAGTTAGATTTCCAGTGCTACTGTATTAAGAAGTATAGGATTATCTGTTGGGTCTGTTAAAAAAGACTTATGCCTTGAGCTGGGAGGAGTATCAGGTCATTTGTAAAGTGCCTTTCAACTGTTTTATAGGGGGCTGGGGATTTAGCTCAGTGGCACAGCGCCTGCCTGGCAAGCATGAGGTTGTGAGTTCAATTCCCAGTACCGGAAAAAACAAACAAACAAACAAACAAAAACAAGCAAATCAACTGTTTTATGATTCTGTAACCACCTTTTCTCTCTTTATTATATTTTTTGGCTCTTATCTCTAGATGCATCAGCTGCCTTCACAGTCTTTTATCTTTTCTACTTATTTAGCATCCCACATGTCTAGTGAATTTATCTTTTCTTTGGCTGAAACATTTTCCACAGTGCCCAGTATGCCTCGCTTTCAATTTTGTAGTGTTGTCATCTAAAAACAAGTGTTAAGATTTTATTAACTTGAACAATATCCCTTTAAGAACA